ATATATATATATATATATATATATATATATATGTAGTAACTTATTAACTTAACTTACATCATTCTCTGATTTCATTTTCATGTCTTCTGGTAAAATTCTTTATTGTGGAATTTCTGTACAGTTTATGGGACATGATTCATTGATTAACTTTTTGTATTTTTTTTAATTAATTAAAAAAGGGACAGTTAACTCAAAATATTTGACCATAATTTATGGTAATCATATCATTACATGATATACAAAATATATTAGTGTTTATTTATTTAAATTGCACTAAATGAGCATTGTAAATTGACATGTCTATACGACATGCACCTATTAACCCATTACCTTATAGTAAGATTTCGTCCCGTGTTTCTAAACTTTCTCTGCATGGTTCATCTTCAAACTTTCCTGCTGATGTGTGTGTGACAGGCAGCTTTTATCTTCTCTGTTGTGTTTCAGGCAAATGGACAGGCAATTACGCTTATGGCCAGTGAGTGTTGACATTCCTGCATATTGGATGGCTCTTTAAATAGCCCCCGTCAGCTACAATGGCTCTCTAAGCGCTCCAAAGAAAAACAAGGGTTATTTTAACCGCCGATGTAATTCCGTCATCGATCTCAAGCGTCGCCCTCCGTGTCGCTTGTGTTCCGAGGCATTTAAGAACACAAACGTGACGTGAGGTTTCTTCTCTCTTGGGATCTTGACAGTTAGTGGTTTTGATTATGGATAGAGATGTGTGCTGGATGGTTTGCCTTTACTGTGTGTTGTCATCCTGCTAGAAGCTGTCAGGTGGATCATTATAGTATGTGGTGTTGGGTTTTTATGTGTGGTCAGAACAGTCCAGGTGTAGATTTGGATTTGCTGTAATGAGTGTGCACATTATACAGGAACATTCAAGGAGTTCAGCTGTTGTGAAAGCCAGTGAGTGTTGACATTCCTGCATATTGGATGGCTCTTTAAATAGCCCCCGTCAGCTACAATGGCTCTCTAAGCGCTCCAAAGAAAAACAAGGGCTATTTTAACTGCCGATGTAATTCCGTCATCGATCTCAAGCGTCGCCCTCCGTGTCGCTTGTGTTCCGAGGCATTTAAGAGCACAAACGTGACGTGAGGTTTCTTCTCTCTTGGGATCTTGACAGTTAGTGGTTTTGATTATGGATAGAGATGTGTGCTGGATGGTTTGCCTTTACTGTGTGTTGTCATCCTGCTAGAAGCTGTCAGGTGGATCATTATAGTATGTGGTGTTGGGTTTTTATGTGTGGTCAGAACAGTCCAGGTGTAGATTTGGATTTGCTGTAATGAGTGTGCACATTATACAGGAACATTCAAGGAGTTCAGCTGTTGTGAAAGGATTTCGGCTTTTTAAAGGAATATTTAACGTCTGCTAATTTATTACATGTAAATATTTCAGGACATAAGTAAAAGTTTGTCTCATGCAATGCTAACTATAATTTGGCACCACTTAGGCCTGGGCAATAAAACGGTATCAATATTTATCGACGGTACACCTTCTTCGATATCGATAGAAAAAATGTTTGGATTTGAATGTTAGGTGTGCATCAGGGAGCGTCATCAGTGGCGCACGAGATGCAGTGATGATGATGTAAGTGATGTTGTTGCATTTTAATGTTTTGTAAGTCTAGCCCACGAGACGCGCCGCTGCTGCGTTATTCATTCAAAATATTAGAGAAATATAGAAGCTCAATGCG